TTCAGTGAAGAATCCTGCACTGACACCTGTCGGATATAATCCAACGCCCTTCGTGGTATTAGCCAGGGGAGTAGTTGTTTTCTGATAGGTGTCAGTCCATTAACCTACTGTGTAGGGTGTTAAGACTGGCCTGAACGAATTGTTCTCTTAGATGATTAGAAAGATTTATGTGTATAATTCATCGATAATGTGGCAATCAATTAGAAAGTTATTCAGATGGATACGATATTTTTTTCTTATCAAATGAATGCATTAGTTGCTTCAAGCATTTTGTGCACATTATAAATGCTTTTTACATCATTCAACTCTCAGGAATTTTTGAAAAATTCGAACTGTCACGCGAAAAATAAATTCCCGCGGCTTACCAAACCGATGTGATACTCGTGATGAAGAAAGGTTGTAACTGCTTTGATTTTTTTCACATAGTGAATCACTTTGGAGACTGAATAGCTCATAACGATCTCATACGCTGAAGTTTCTTGGGGACTGGAGATGTGGAATACGAAACCTTAAATTGAATAATTAGTTATTTCGACTGACAATTTATTCATTGAGATTTCACAAGTGTTTTTTATGTCTAGGACTCACTGAGGAATAATGAAAAAAGTACTACTACAATCCGATCGAAGTTCACCAGACCAAGTAAAGAGATTGTGTCGACCACAGAATCTATAACACAGTCAATGACATATTCTTCTGCCACTACTTTTTTTCGTAAGTAAGAGGAAACTTTTCGTCTACATAATACAAATGACTAACTTCCTATAGCATAGTAAACTTTCGTGAAATAACACTACACTCATTTCAGCTACAACTCGAGAAATAATTTCTGACAGAGACATAAGTAACTCCAAGGATTCAGAATCTACAGCAAATATTATAATAGAAACTTCTCGTATTGATATGTTTCTGTAGACGAGTTATTACATTTAAATGAAATGAAGAAATCAGTATTACAAAAATAATTCAATCTAAATGTCCTGATGTATTCAAAGAAGTGCTTGGTACTTTTGAAAGAGAGAAAGTTGAAGTGCAGACTCCTATATGAAATAGCTTCAAATTCGAGAATATTTCAAAGAACTGTAGACACTGTTTTTAGAGAAGTTGAAAGTGGTAGAAGAGCACCTAGAACATTTCTTTACAGTATTTCGTAAATTACAGGTTGTGGGTTGAGAGTGAAGCTGTCTAAATGTTCATTTTTACAGGAAAAAATATTTTTTTTGGGTTACACAATTGATACAATAAGTTCAACTACATGCAATGATAAAATTCGGACCCCATCCCTAATATTTTTCCCAAAAATAAGGTTGTATAATGGAGATTTTCGCTGCAGACGATGCATCAAAGGAACAATGTTTCATATGAATGTGAGAAACTGCATCATAGAAGGCAAGCAATTTACGTATAACCAAATTATCAAGTCCAGGAGAATATAACAAACACCCTATGAAAAACTAGTCACTGGGAGAAAAAATGTATTGAGCACATGAGGCTACAGTGTCTCCAGGTGACAAAATGGAAGTCAAGACTGTTCACACGCAGGAAAAACTAAGCCTTTGTCACCATTTTTGGAGACTTTTAGTGCATACATACTCATTGATTTGATCTACATGACTTCCCATTGTTTATCTTAACTACTTTTGTATAGTGGCATGATTTTATGAACCAAATCAAGCCAAATACATACTTTGCTAACACTTCTGGTGAAATTGGAAAGAAACCACCTTCTTCCATTGATAAATAGTGTTGTTGAAGTTCGTTGGGATGTTTGGCAAGAAACTTTCTGATTGTGAGAATCCTTTCAATTGAATATCCAAGTTTTTGACAAAATTTAATATTTTTTTCCAAAAGATAAGTATCCTCCAGGAGTACATTTTCTATGGCGTATTGTTTTGCTTCTTTATATGAAATACCTTTAAAAAAATCTTGATGAAATGCCTTCATGATCTCATAATGTTGAAGTACATACCAGTCAAATTTGACAATACTTCTATATTAGAGGGACTAGAATAACTCCTTTTAATAGATGTGATACCTAAACAACCACAGTAAAATTTCGTTCTGAGAGGGAAAAATTTCTGTATCGACATATTACTATTTGTGATATTCAGTAAAAAAAAGAAAAAATAATTGTTAGGAGTTTCATAACCTTTTCTTAACAAAAATAAATATTGACAAGAGTATTTACAGTGTTAAAATTTGAAATCATCTCTCTTTCTCTCTCTCTCACAGCTCTGAGTGAGTATTTTAATTCCCGACCTTTGCTTCAAAGGAGACGTGTATAACCAGAGGTAAAATTTTGTGTTCAAATCACTATTCTGGAGTTTTTTTCAACAGGTGTGTTTTGTAGGGTTCGCATGGTCAGTGTTGTTCTTTATGAATTTTCAATTTTGCCCAACCTAGAGTGAAAATAGTACCAAAAGTGATGGATAGTGCCAGATAGTGCCCACTTGTCATTTTCTTCTTCTCGTTTGTACATGCTCAGGCATGGTTGCCACTTTCATTGAATATTTTCATTACGTTATTTCGCTGATGCACTATCTTTCACCACAGTATATACAAAAATTGTAGAAAACTTTCAAAGGAGGAAAGAAAGCAATTTAGTTCATATAAAAGTGAAGTATAGAATAATAATAATGAAAATAATCGTCTATATTATTTCCCAGCTGTAGTTACATACAAATATTTAAATAAATTACTGAGCTAGTTGCTGATATAACAAAAGGCGAAGTTTAACTCAGTTAGCACAAGTGCTACTGAGTTGTTTTGAAAGTGGTTTTTTCTTCGTTAAATTCAATGTTTATACAAAAGTAGTTGTATCGAGAGGGGTTTGTCTTCTAGTTTGTATGTGAAAGTAACTTCTACGCATGATCTACAAATCGACTGAGAAGAGCGACTGTACGTGTGACGACAGTTTGCATCACGATATCGATGCCACGCGAAAGATAAAAATTGCCATATATCAACCTCTTAAAATAGATTACCATCTATTCAAAAGTTATAATGAAGCATTCGTCTTTCAAAATGAAAAAACACTGATATTGGAACTGAAAAAAAATAAGAAGAAGAAGACAGAGTCACAGACCATGAGGAGGAGGAAGTGGAGAACGTGGAATTTGAAGAAGCATTTTTTGACAGTGAATTCGTGTTGAAAAAAATTCAAAAAACATCATTTTTTGCATTTTTTTGTAAGAAAATTTCAATTCAACCACTGTTCAAGAAACAAACTTTTTTGTACTTCAGTACAAAAACCGACGTTTCTCTACAATATACGCAACAAAATTTTGTTGCGTGTATCAAAAACGAAAGTTTTTTTGAATTTTTTTCGATAAATTTTGTTGTTTGGGATAAAAGACACATTTGTATGTTTGCATATTGTTGTTGAATATGCATATCACAGATATATAAAATAATAATTTTTTACTTGCAGACTTGCATAACCAATCATACATCAATGAAATTAGAATGAGATGAACTATTTTCTGTAGAAAAAACAATATGTCGCCCATGGTAGAAAAAAAGTTGAAGATGATTGCTAGAAGACGAAACGTCGGACAGTAAATCTGAACATGAAAATGTGTAGCTGAACAAAGGCAAAGATGAAAATATGTTTTTTGGTTTGAGCTATGTTGTCAAAAAACACTAAATAAAAATGAAAACGAAAATTCAGATTTTCCGGATATTTTCGGAAATACTCGGAATTTTCAAAACAATATTTTGGTAAGCACAAAAAAAAACGCAACTTTGCTCCAATTTGAGCTTCGACGTATCTCCTATAATTTAGGAGATCCCAATGGTGGGGGTCGAATTTGAATTACCCTTGTATAATATATAGTTTCAGTAATTTATTGCATACCCTGTATGTGACTATGTGAACTGTACCATATTTCTATCAGCGTGAATTAAGTTGGAGTGCGAATTATTGTTGATAATGAATTTCTTACTTCCTACCGTCATAGTGGTAAGCGATAATAAACCGCATTTCCTTTTCCTTATTAAAAAATATCCAAAAAGAATCAGTTCTCCCCTTGAGCAAATAAGTGCGTGAAGATGTGTAAAACGGGCAGTTATGCGATTTCTGATTCAAAAAGGAATAACTCCTCTCTTAAGACTTTCGTGTGTACCTTCTTGGTGTTTTTAGCTCTGTTGTTATTAATATATCTGTTGATGTTTGCGCTGAAAGGAAATTCTACAGCGAATAAGAAAAGGTACATGGCAGGAGGAACATTTGTGAGTATTTTTTTTGAGAGTCCTACTTTTGACCAATAATACATAAAAAATAAAAATTCGGTGTAATTAAATCATCATTATTTTTTCGATTATTTGGAAAATGCTTTATAATATCGTAAATGTTTTAAATCTGTTTCTGTTTAAAATTTGTTTCTCCGTTAACCAGCTGCCGCACCCCTACGAACGACAACCCTCAGAAGTCGAAACTTGTGTGACCTGAGGACTAACGAGGTCTCACCTTTTAACGTGTGATTTCTATTACGGGTTGGACGATAGTAAGTGAAAATCAATCGTTCAGCCTGGGGCTTGAACCACCGACCAACACGGCGGTCGATTTGAGTGAGTGAACAAAGCACCCACGTCGAACCGACCGGCTACCGACCGAAACCGACTGAAACACTTTATAAATGGAACCAGTAAAAACGAAATCGAGAACAACTGAATATTCCGAATAAATTGATTTATTTACCGTTTTAAAAAAAAATTAACTTCGTTGATTTGGCAGAAGATATACTTCAAGTTTGGTAGTGAAATCACAAAACTCTTGAATTTGCATGAGAAATGATTTAATAATTCCACTACAATCGAATAGCAATGCTAATTTTTTTGCTATTGAATTCATTATCTCGTTTCGAAAGATTTTTCATGAAAAACTAAGTATTTTAAAATTTCTGGACTCAACAATAGTAAAAAAAACGAAATATCTATTTTTACAATGCTTTTCAATACAAATTGGATATATCACTATATATATCCTCTCTCCGCGATAATAAGTAGGTAGATATTTATTCTTCATGAGATCTATACTCAAATATAATTGCTACTCTATAAAATAAACCTATTGGAGTAGTCAGAAAAATGCCGTAATCAGACTAGGTTGTTGTGAAAGTAATAGAGTTTTAAACTTGAAATCAAAATATTTGTCTAAATTTTAAAAGCTTGTTCTGAAAAATTTCAAAATGTTTCAGAAATTCATAGTATCAATTTATTTTAACGGCTATATTAAAGAAGAAAGTAATACAAATCATGAAATTATAAAACAACAACAAACATTAGTTGGCGCTTCGGGGCGAATTCCTTGATTACAGTGGCGGATTTGCTTTTTCAACTGCAGGAAAACCCGGAAAAACCTGCAGCACCACATCATCTGAAGATCTTGATCTACCAATGTCCCCTCTTTCATAAAACAAAATGTAGGGTGTCTCCAGAGGCTCCAATAAATTCAAGACATCGCCAGAACACTTAGTGACAAGACTATCATCAAACTTAAACCAGTTCATTTCGTCTTTGGCCAATGCGTGACCAGATTCAACGCCAGAACCACAGTGGACAATTACTGAATGAAGATTATAATAGTGGTCAGCTAGATTGAAGTGTTCATCTATTTCGCATCTTCGTAAGAGTTTGGTGCTTCTGTCAAAGGTTGAGTCATGTTTGAAGATCCTCAGTGTTATTATTGGATTGACTGGTGCCTCAGCTATACTTGTTTTCTTATAATAGTCAGTTAGTTTGGCGCATGTTTGGCAATACAGTTGATCATCACCCATTTTCAGATGATTCAAAAATAAGCTTTGCTCGGACTGGTTATCACTCATATTAGGAAACGCTAGTTGAAGTTTCCGAAAATCACATACGTTTTTGCAACCTCTTGAACATTTACTACAAAGTAAACAAGTGAAGTTTTTTCCAGCAACAGATCTACAAACACAAGACAAGATAGACTGTACGGAATCATTCAATCCAGAGCGGTCAGGACTATTGATTCTACTATTTTTTTGCTCACGAAGAGTACTCAACAAGAACCCCAAGAACTCGGAGCAATCATTTTGTTGTCCTAACGAGTATCTAGTGGACTTCAAAGGCTCCAGGAAATCAGTTGGTGGGAAAGATGATACATTCTTACGAAACTGCAACTACATGAACAATAGCACAATTGTTTGAGTTTGGTGAATAAGTAGGAAGCATGAATTTCATTAGTTCGAACTTTCATTGTCTGATATTATATAAAATGATTTGAAATCCCTGAAAGAATTAAAAAAGAAGAAATTAAAAATGGATAGCTGAAAATAACAATTAAATTGAGCTATAAAATACAAGTAAAAATAGAACAATTGAACAAAAAATAAAAATTAAATTGAAGAATAAAAAGTTAAGAGATTCCAAAGCAAGTTAGTTCATGACGTTTCGATTGTTAGTATCCACAATCGTCTTCGGGTGATGACTGGACTGATTCTTCCGAGAGATGACTATTTATGGGTCATTCGAGTACTTTTACTTATCCGCGCTTTCAATTTTTTCCGCTTCACTGGTTTAGTGGGAGATGACCGTTTGGCGGGCCATTTTTCGCTTGGTGATGGGTTTCCATATGTTTATCTCTATGCTTGCTTGCCTGAATACGTTGTTGGACACCTTCAAGTAGGTTGTCAATCACCTTCAAGTAGGAAACATTCTCGTTCTCGTTCATCGTTAAAACCTCGTTCATGAATTTTTTATGTAGAATGTCACTGAACATATTGTGGTGACATTTGATACCCACATATTATGGTTTGTGTTCGATTTCTAAACGTAATAATGGTTTTTTGGCTTCTGTCATTTGAATGAATATTTAAATTTTTCCCTAAAATATTCTGTTTCCTTCATGTCCAATTATCAATTGGACAAAGTAAAAATCTCAGATTTTTTGAATAACTATCTGCAAAATGTTCTTGATGCCCCGTTTTATGTTACTATGATTGGTTTTTTCTGGGCACTGAACGCTTTTTGATGATATGAAAAAGTCCCCAAAAATCAATATTTCAATACCTATTGTATCACACTACGTAAACAAGGACGTAGTATGAGTGTATTCTAAAATCCTGTTTCTTCAATATTTCCAGATATAAAACAATGGGTACTCAATTTTCAAGATATCTAGTTGACATAAGCTTTCCAAACTAAGCTTATGGTCT